TGGCAAATAATTTGCTTAAAAAAAAGTGGTAGTCATTTAAAATTAGTGGCTGTCTTTAGCTTGTATGCACCGTACTAAGTATATAAAAGCCTATACCACGTGTAAATTGGAATTTATTGAAAGACTAATCTTCCAATTAACAACACTGTACTATTACTTGATCTGATCGATTTGATAAGTTATAGAGATAATAAAATAAAAAATAGCATTAAACGGTTAGAATAAAGCAAACATATGTAGTGCCTGGTGTTGATATTTTCCTGAAGCTGTTACGTATTTTTGGCGCCTGAACTCGCACATGAACGAAATAATATGTGAGACAAATATAATTATATATGTTTAATTGCAATTCGAATTAACACTAATGATTTATCGTTATATAAATTATTTTTCACTTAAACTTTTTTAACTGCTTACACGCTTACGAATTTCAAAATCAGCTATATTTATTATATATTTAAAAAAAAAAAAAAATACAATTATAGAATTTCAAAAACTATTCAAATGCCAAATTTAACAATATTATCAAGACTTTCTTTCAAATTCTTCTCGAGATTTGTCAAATAATCACGTTGATGTTTAATAGAGTCATCCTCCTTAATCATTTCATCTAATTGAAATTTACCATCAAGTACGCAAATTCCTATCATTCTTTCTTCAATATGTTTAGTAAATTGGTCAATGAATGTATGAATGATGGTCATGGCTATAATGTCCACGTAACGATTAAGTGCAATTTTGAAATAAGCCATGACCAATGCCATAATCTCTAAAGTGCTTGTAGGTTCTTGATTTTCACGTTTTAAAACTTCGTGGAAATCACTTAGATATATTGATTTTTGAGAAGTTATTGATTTATCATCAAGTGTAAATGGATCGGATGATTGCATTTGATAGATTAAATCGTACATTCATCTAACCATGAATTTGTGATATATCTTTATATAATACGTATATATATACATTAATTTTTTAAGTAAGAGAAAAGTTATCTTATGACAATCATTTAGAAAATTGAGTACGTAGTTAATACGTACCTTATTTGTCCAACTAGATTTGGAAATCTTGAAAATGTATCATCGACGCTTTTATTAACCAATTTTAAAATAACAAAATAAATGGAATTCAGATAATTAATTGCTGGTGCTCTCCAATTCAAATTAGTTTTCTTTATTAAGGATTCGGCAACGGAGGATGGGATAAACCCAGGTAATAGTCTTCCGCGGGAAGTTTTGATCCGTTCATTTACTTGAACTTCAGATACTTTTAGTAATTCGCTAGTCTGATATTTTCCCGTAAATTTTACACGGGACAACTGGTCAGTAATGCTATTACTGTATTATAAGTATGCTTATTAGAATAAGTTTTTTCAATAACCTTTGTTTTAGTATAGTCATCTAATAAATTAATTTCAGTTTCATTATTGCCAACGGTGAAAATCGGTCTTGATGAATAAAGTTCTTGTTTGAAGTATTCAAATTTTTGGTTAATAGACTGCCATAAGTCTATTTGATTATTTGAACA